CACACAGCAGTCAGTGACAGGGCTGGCTCCCTGGCCCAGCAGAGGTTCAGGCATCATCAGCTCTAGTCATCAAATAAAAGGCACACCTGTGACCCACTATGGACAGCCCTGTCTCCCCATCCCCAGAGACAATATCCATGATGAATGAACTAGGCTTGCTTCACCCACAAGCTGGCTCCCTGCAGCCATGCAGTGCCCAAGAGACACAAAGACATGGCTGGGTTTTCTTCTGAGGATGCCCAGAGCCTTACTCTCTTGGGGAGCTAAGCTTTGGAGGGAAGAGTGGACCTGCAGCCCCATTTCCAGCTCACCTATGCTCTGGCAGGGAGAGCACAGCAAACCACCTCACCTCACTAGCTGTTTCTCTATGCAAGAGGTACAGAGAAAAAACTCTTCCTGAGAGTCCTTCCTGACAGTCTTTCAAGAGTTTGGAGAAGAACAACTTGTTTGGTAAAAATGACACTATTAAAAGACATTTTTATTTCCATGCTATTTTGAGCAGGATCATATATATATACTGTATTTTTTATACTGTATGTCTTTGTATATCAATCAAGAGGTCAACCTAGGGAGTTTATAAAATGAAGTGTCATGTTCTGGGAAGGCTGATTTTGCAACATCTTCTGTGTCTTGTGGGGGAGGCAAGGTCAGAATAGACAATAGTGTGGAGGTGCCAAGAGAAATTCTGGGCGAATCCCCAGGCCTCAGTTTCGCCCTAGGCCCCTAAGGGTGTGCAGATGCCCTCAGGCGGCCTTCTTGCCAACACTGGGTGGCCACCCTAATCCTTCCTTCCAGACATTCCTTAATACTGAGGAAGTGCAGATACGCAAACGCTGAGGGCACTGCAGTGCCCAGGACGCGAGCAAGCCCTTCTGCTCAGCTTCACGGTAAGACAGCCACATCCCTTCGCGGGGCTTCCCTGAGCCTCAACTTCATTCCTGAACATTCCGAAAAATGAACTTAGCCAAGGTGGGCGAAAGAGCCCAGTTGTCACAGCGACTCCGTGCCTGCCAGGAAACCAAAGGAGGGCCCCAGAGGAGCTGGTCCCAGCCCCTGGCCTTGCCTTGCCGCCTCGTTAGCAAAGCTCCCTACGCTAGGCGCCGACGTCCAGCGGCCACTGCCAGCAGCCGGCAACTGAGTTCCAGCCTTCTGCGTCTGCACCCGCCGCTCCAGCCGTGTTAGCCGATTCCGGACCCAGGGTGGGCAGGCAATGTGGGCATCTGGACTGCGACGGGGCGGTCAAGCAGCCGTGCCCAAACCCAGGCGGCTCCGAATTTTAAACACGCACACATACTGGCGGACGCCGGCCAATCCGCT